TTTATACGTTAAACCGTTTTACAGATTTTAGTAGTAGTAGTTTTAGCCTTGAAGGTACCAGTTTGGAACGCAGTGCCGCGCAGTCATCTTGCATCTCGCCTCGATTTCTATGGGAGCGAGAGAAACAACCGATGCCAGAAACGTTCCCGACTGCCAAATCAGTTTTACTTAACTCAGCAAAAATGCGAAAGCAATAAATTTGCATACAAGAAACTGGTTGGAAAATAAGAGCTGTGAATTGGAAACCGATGCATTAAAATCGAGTGAAGCGGAAAATCCATTTCGACAGCTAATGCAGACCAAAAGCTCTAATAGTTTGACGGCCAAGCAAAACTGCTCAGAAATGCATCTAGCGGCAATAAAAACGCTGAAGAGCGTCTTCTGAGTATAAAGACACGCTGGAAATCCCATAGAAGCAACCACTAGCCAGAAAATTTGCCGACAAACTGAAAGTGTTCAGAATCACATTCTGCGACTCTAGGAATTCTGGAGAAGCTTCAAAGATCAGAAGCAACCACAAACTCACTCGGGTAATGCTCCAAAGCTCTCAAAGTTCGGGGATCAAGTTAAAGTGCTCAGAAACGCATCTGGTGACTCTGAAAATGCCGGAGAAGCTTCTTCTGGGTTCAGAAGTAACAGCGAAGACACTCTGGGAATCCCACAAGCAATTTATACAAAATCGTGATTTAAACCCAGCTTTTCAACTTTCATCCGAGTTGTTAATGATGTCTTTTTTCTTAAAACGCTCCATTCCATTTCTAGTCCAGAGCGCGGAGAGCGCCTCTATCTCTAAAACGGTTTAACGTATAAAACATTTTTTGCAACAAAAGTTGTAGAGAATTTAATCCGCTACAATATTCATAATAAATTTAAATATCGTAAAACTTACCGTATTTATTTGATCTTAGTTATCTACAGTCGCGTCCACACTACCATCAGTAGGTTTTCAGACACGTTTTAGGATGTTAATATAAAGGTTTATACGAGTTTCCAGCTTGTTATTTTGAATTCCGAGATGAAACACTTATTTGACTGGACCAATTTCACCTTACCAATCTAGTTTTTTACTTGGACAGATACAATAAAGGCGAGGATTGTAAAGTAGACAAATTGTTATAAACTTCTAAAATCCATCAAAAAGAAATAGAAAATTTACATGAACGTAGCACACAAAACTGGACAAGTACGACGATGGACGAATGGACAGATCTCCAACCAATAGAAACACTTTCGTACCATCGTATCATCGTACAAACGGATGCATGGGACAAGGGCTTAAACCAGAATGAATTTTACAGAGAAAACTTGGGGGAAATGGGGTAAAAGTTGCATTTTTGGGTGCTGGTGCGTAAGTCTGAAAGAAGACAGGGTGTATTTGCAAATTTTAGCGAAGCTTCCAACGGTTTTACATCCAAACCAGTGTCGTGCCCGAAGCGTTCGGCACAACTTTAAGAAGAAAGTGTTAGAAACTTGTCCAGTTTTGTGTGCTACGTTCATGTACATTTTTTATTTCTTTTTGTTGGATTTTAGAAGTTTATAACAATTTGTCTACTTTACAATCCTCGCCTTTATTGTCTAGTCCAGTCAAATAAGTGTTTCACCTCGGAATTCAAAATAACAGGCTGTAAACTGGTATAAACCTTTATATTAACATCCTAAAACGTGTCTCAAAACATACTGATGGTAGTGTGGACGCGACTGTAGATAACTAAGATCAAATAAATACGGTAAGTTTTACGGTATTTAAATTTATTATGAATATTGTAGCGGATTAAATTCTCTACAACTTTTGTTGCAAAAAATGTTTATACGTTAAACCGTTTTAGAGATAGAGCGCGGAGAGCGCCTCTATCTCTAAAACGGTTTAACGTATAAACATTTTTTGCAACAAAAGTTGTAGAGAATTTAATCCGCTACAATATTCATAATACATTTAAAAACTCGTATAGACGAGTTTACAGCTTGTTATGCTGAATTCCGAGATTGTTACCCGATTTTGACTAATATGACTGGACTGTTGGCAGTATTTGTAATAATGGAACATTTCCAGGCAGAAAAAAGGTGGACGATGAAGGAAACACTTGCGAACCAAACGGGGTCCCCATTCACACTCAAGCCTTACTAAACTTAGAAAAACTGATCAGTAGACTAAGGGAGGACGATTCCAGTGCGAAGTCGACTCCCGCCAGCTCTCCCAAGTTGCCCCGAAGCTCTCCATCCTCGCCAACGCCCAGTAAAAAAGGTACCCAAGTGCAGCCGGTTCAGCGCCCCGCTATATTCCCCTATTGGCCATTTACTAGGAGCACGCCCCCAATCCGCATCGCCCATCCGCAGGAGGATTTTAAACTCCCCATTTTTGCGCCGCCGATATAAACACTTGGAAAGTTCCGATGACGACACCACCGGCTCCAGTGAGGAGATTTTCAATGGCACCAACTACAAAGATCTGGAAACGTTCCAGAAGTCCCAGTTGCGGCAAAAGGTACACTTAGAACCGCTTGAACCCGACTGTAGCTGGAGGGAGGACCTCCACTAGCTTAATGCTTTGCATAGGTGTGTTTTCCAAAAGAACCATTCGATGTTTTTCAGCTAAAGAGGGGAAAGATCGAGCCGAATGGTGGCAGTTGCTGTAACAGCCAAACGGTGCCTCAAAGACGGGAGTTTGTTATGCATAACAAGGCCCCGATGTGGAATGAAAACAGTCAGGTTTATCAGCTGGATTTCGGCGGGCGAGTCACTCAGGAGTCGGCCAAGAATTTCCAGATCGAATTCAGGGGCAAACAGGTGCAGTTTGCACGTGAAACCCAGCAGAGTTTTATGCGGTCGGTTCCTTCCAGGTGATGCAGTTTGGACGGGTAGATGGAAACGCCTACACTCTGGATTTCCAGTATCCCTTTTCGGCGCTGCAGGCGTTTGCTGTCGCTTTGGCCAACGTCACTCAGCGACTGAAGTAGTGCCATTCTGGGCCTCCAAATGAGTGAGATTGCGACGGGTTTCCGATCTTAATGGGGAAACTGGTTAAAGTCCCAAACCATTGGCCACCACAAAACCTTGTAACCTGCCATATTCTAGTTTAATTTCGATGTTGCTATTGTTGTTCTCAGATTTGATTAGGAATTGTGCAATTTTGCGACCAAACAGCGTTTAACTTGATGGAAAATGCCGGCCTTAACGCGACAATTTATCGCGAGTTTGGCCCTGACGTTTTGCCAGCACTCATGCCTACCATCTTCAGATGGATGTTGCTTTCGGGTGCTCACACTCTATTTCGCATGAATCAAGTGAAACTGATTCTTCCATTCAGGAACGTCGTCGGCATCGTGTTGTCTCACTTGCACTCATAAGAGCCTATGGCAGGTGCGCGATGAGCTGCTGCTGCTGCGTTCCAACTTGATACCTTTGCGGTTCAAAATAACTCGGTTTTTCCACTTAGGAATTTTTTTTTGTGGAAAAATTGAACAAAAACTTGACCATACTAAGTGTACACTTTTATTTGATTACAAGATTATAAATGTGTTAACAACATCAAACGCAGCGTGGCAAAGAGTGGCGCACGAGCAAACCCGTAAAAAGCCTTAAAATGCTGCCAAAAGCTTTTGCTGTTAGGGTCCATCCAGCGCAAGTTCCCAGGACAAGTTTTTCCCATTAAGATAAACGTTTTTTAGTCAAAAGAATTATTATCTCGCCCATTCGAGCTGACTGTAGGTTTGTTACTTGTTCGTAAAGTTTTTGCCTCCTGGAGTTTCTACCTAGATGTTCCCCCTGTATACCTAACGAAGTTTCCATGTTATAATAAAGTGTTTTTTTGGCTTAGTTGCGTTTAGCTTTTGCGTACGGGGTGAATTGGGTGAACCATGTGGCTCAGATCCGGCGGGTTCTTTTCGCAGGCAGTCAACACAAGCATTTCAGGTTCCAGTAGTTTCCAAAGTTCCGGATACTCCTGCTTGAAGGTGGCGTACCATTTTTGGACCAGTGGGTAGTCCGAGAGGTCGAAATTGATCGATTCCAGGCACATGGTGGAAGTTGCCAGTTGGAAGTCGGCTATGGTTATGTGGTCTAGAATCGTTCAAAATTGCATAAAAAATGCATTTTACAAAAATACTCTCTTACTAGTCGCTGCGTATTTAGTGCCGGTTCTTTCCAAGTAAGTGTTGAAATTGCTGAGCGCGATGTGGGTTTTTTTCAGGGCCAAGTCTGTTCTCGGGTAGTCGAAGAACATCGGATTCACCTAGCAGGAGCCAATTAAGCAAGTTAGGAGTTTTGCTCTTTTAAAGACGAAGTTTCACCTACCGCGTAATCGCAAATATTTCTATAATACGTGGAAAGATCGAAACATAGTCGGTGATTGACCAGCGCTCTTTCCTTAAGGTCTTTCGGATAGAGGGTTTGGTCCTTTGCGTATTTATCAGCTAGGTACTGCAGGATTGCATTGCTGAAACCCATTTTTTATTAAATATTTTCCCAGCGTTAGTTAGTTTCAGTTACCTTTCGCTCAGCTGGAATCCATCGTCGTCGATCAGGGGAATTTCTTTTTGGGGATTTTTCTACATTCAACCAATTAAGATATTTATGTACAACTTTTATTAGTGGTGAAACTAATGGGGTTTTCGGGTTTTTAGG